CCCCCTACAGTTCTGAGAGGAAAACTGCAACCCATTTGGCATCCCATGTAGATTAGTCAACACTGTGTGTTTAGTTTGAATATTTGACTATCAATCTGAAAGCGTCTATTAAAATATGTCACTTAAAATAATGAAAATCAATAAAATTTGCAAATGAAATTCATGAGTTACAGTTTATACCTCTTTGGTCGATGAAAAACTTTTTACCCATCATACTTTCTCATATATGTTGTTTGATATAAACAGTTATTTGCTAGGATTAACAGGACTGTAAACTCTTCCAGACATGTACAATAATATTCTTGTGGCATCTACAGTACTTCTGCTGGTGGCAAATGTTTGCTTTGCACAAAATCCTCTTCACCAAAAAGGAAAAGTTTGTACGTCACAAAGTAGGAAGCAAAGTAGTCCATATCACTACCTATTCAAGGTACTGTAAAGGTTCTAACAAAATATTTGCATAAGATACAATCTCTTCCTTCTGAGAGTGAGACTAGGCCTAACTGATAGTTTGATGTAACCTTTGACAGGTGGTTATGATATACTGAGTTAGACTTTACAACTGGCCAAACAACCCAAATCTGGACTGTTCAGATCAAATGTCAGTGCCTGATAAGTCAAAGTATTGCAGCATGATGCTGTCAACTGAAGCTTGGGGCAAGGCAAGTGCTTATTGCCCATCCTGTTTAAGCAGAGTTAAGCAAACATGTTGACAAGTTACGAAGGTTGCCAAAAATGAAAGAATCTTATAAAATATTGCTGTTACTTAACCAGTAAAGAGGATTTCTGACTTTGAATACTTTAGTAACAAAGCAGGTTTTGTTTTTTTACCATATCTCTCCTTATGACCCAAATGTAAATTAAACTGGTTCCTGCAAAATTTAATACTTGCTCACATAATTGGGGGGGGGTCTCATGTACCATAGTAGTTAACAGTAAAAACTGTTCAACTATACACTTCCATGAAATTCAAATAAATGATTGATCTATCTTTTAAAGGGCTGAAAGATTTTGTGATTATTTAAATGCACCTACAGCAAAGCAAGGTTTGAACATGAGAACAGCTAACTTGCATAAGATTATAAGCTCGAGGGCAGAAGCTGATTACCTACTGAGATCAGGATGGAAATTTCCTTAAAGTTACAGAGATGTCGGAATACATTATAGTTTTCTTTTTGGTTTCAATAACTCTTAAGAGCAAAATCCTCACAGCATTTTTCCAGGAACAAATTATTCTGACTATAATGGCTTTGCTGGCTTGTGCTACAAAGCTTAATTTAGGAACTACTGGATATTTCTGCACCCAAGATGCTGGATTTCAAGGAACTATGACCCACGTTTGTATTCCAAAATGTTTTCCCCATAATCGTCCAATCTCAGTATACTTGTCATGCTTTTAAAAGATCATTTTACACATCATCAACTTGATCCACCAACTCCAGCTGTTAAAATGGTGGGTTATGATTTATGTTACTCTCACTAAAATCTGTGCTTTTTTCCCAAGAAAAATTGCTGCTGAAACTCACCATGAAGTTGGTCCGGTAAGTCACTGGGCAACTTGGGACAGCTCTAAACGGATGCTGGTTTAGCAACATCTGCATTCACCACTTGCAGAGGTGCTAAAAACTCTGACAAGCTGTTTTCCTAGTTGGTTTGGGGGTCGCCACTGGTTCTGGTGCAGGTCAAATAAATATACCCTCACTTTCCTTAATTCTCTTAGATTCAGGAAGATGTCTAGGGTAGCTTGGAAGGGCCTTTGTGAAAACATGCAACTGTAGAGGCCTGGCCCTGGATATTGATCAGTTGCAGCTAGGAGTGGCTAGGTGCAATCATGTGTGTGTGTGTGTGTGTGTGTGTGTGTGTGTAGGCGCACACACACACTGGCCAGCTTTTGCTTTGACTTGAAATGTTCGTTTTGGGCAATGACACCCACTTGAGAGGTGCTGGACCTGTGCTCCAGCATGCTGTGGCTGAAAAGAAGCACTGATTAAAATTCGCTTCTGCTGTCAATGCAGTTGCACTGGTTAAAATTCAAATACTCAGGGTTTGACTCTTCAGTCAATAATGCTGAAGATAAAACTTAAAAGTTCCGCAAAGGGTACTTGATTGAATTCCAACTGTACTTTCCAGCAATCTTCACATATCACTAGATAATTCATTCTTACAGGGGTTTTGAGATCAACCTTTTGTTTAGTTATCAGCAACAGTAGCTTGCGTTAGAAGGTCACAACACTTTATAATTAAGTGTGGGTGAGGCAAATCTATTCCTTCACACTGAAGACAGATGAGGCTTCTTATTGAGTTTGCTATAATTCCTCATTATGCTTTACATTTTAAATATTAATAAGAACGGTGTCATTGGAGAACAAAATACATTATTCCCATTCATCAAAGTTAATAGTGATGTATATGTGTCAATTTATCAAGGTTAACAGTGATTTATATGCATTGTTTCCAACATATACAACAGTTTATCCTCAGAAAATTAACTTAAGGACATTGTTTTTCTTGTACACTGTAGAACATTTTACAGCAGTGAGGAACCTATTAAGCTCACTGATAACTGAGGAATGTCATTATCAAAATAAAAGAAAACTATTGTCTTCTTATGGTAGGAAGCCAACTTTGCAAAACAGGCTGAACAAAAATAAACAGAAACAATGGGACAACTTCAGAATCAAGGTAGCTGATTTGCTCGTTTGGACATTAACTCTAAGCCAGCTGCTCCATGGTTTGTTTCCATACTGGGCTAAGGCAGGAGCAAAGCGGAAGCACTAGAGATGTGTGCACTAGCATGTAGCTCAGGCATATTAAGGGTGAAACAAACTGTACTTTGTGGCTTCTCATTATGCTAAAATGCAACCAGTATTAAATAAGTTGATTGAGTTGCAGTGGTCTTCAGTGAGTGTACTGGAATGCTAAACAACAGCCTCCCCCTACTTGGGCTCTCCAGATGTTTTGACAACTCCCATCAGTTCAAGGCTGGGAAAGACTGAGATAAAGTCTTGTAAACCTACATACTGCTTTACTGTACTGCAGTTACAAGCAAAACAGCTTTCAAAGGCTGGTGTACAACTAAGTTCTACTCAGAGTAGACTCACTGAATTTAATGAACACAGCTAAGTTGGTCCATTAATTTAAATGGGTTTACTCTGAGTAAAACTTAATTGAAAACCACTAATATGTCTAATGGCCTATAGCCACAGCTGTCTCCCACCTCTTTCTTTTGGGTGACTCAGAGTAGATCAACCAACACTAATGGAATAAATTAAGTCATGACTAATTTGACTGATTTCAATGGGGTTTCTATTAATATGGGTCAGCCATAGCCCCACCCCCATTCAAAATTATTTCATTTTTACTGTTTTCCCCTCAGTATTCTAGATAGTGGTAAATTTCCCAGCTTTATATGCTGTAAACATTCCAGAATTCTAAAAGTCACAATTTATTTTGAGAAGTCCCACAATATACACTCTCACAAACTGATTTAATCTCCAAGAACAAGATCAGCATACTTCAAGTTTCCAGAAAATTCACGTTCTCATTTAAACCAATATTGAACAGTTTCTCAGAACATTTTAAACTTTAAAAAATTCAAAATATTCAGGATTTAACTGAAATATTTGCTGTTCAGCTACTGAAAGTTAAGAAGCCTAAGACATTGACGAGTGTATGAGCTAGACACTTGCACACAATTCTTGTACAAGAATGCACACCCAAGTTTGCTTCTTAGTAAATTATTAACATTATTTTTTTTTCTTGTTGAGATTTCACTCTACCCTGTTACTTATCAAACCTTCTTGTTAAGGGAGAGAAATTCTCAAATGAGTGTGCAAAAAATACATTTATTCCTCTTAGATTTTCAAAGCGTTTACTGTATCCTGGTGGAAAGAAATGTTGCAAAGAGATTTCCTGCCTGATTTCAATAACTTTGAAATGTTTATGCAACATTACTGAGTTTTTATTTGTTTATTTATTAAATTTATACAGTATCCTCCTAAAGGTTCCCAGGTTTGCAATGACCTTGGTCATTCATTAAAACATATTCAATGAATGTCTCTGGATTATATACAGGAATAGTTAGAAACTTTCAACCCAGCTACATCTTTTTAAAATCATCAATGAACTGATTGGGGATAATATGCAGTCTTCTCTGCATTTCTCAAGAAAAGCTGACTGATTTTTAGCTGAAGGTACATAAGCATGTATGTCATAGTCAATACAAAATATACATGTGTACAAATCAAATGAAACAAATAAGACTTTGATGGTATCAAAGTATCATTAGGATTACAGTGCTATTTTGTAACATCAAACTTGCAGGATCAGACTTGACTGCATTACACCAAAGATATTTCAGAGGAGCAATGCACTTCAGCAATGATTGCGAAGGGACCCAGGATGCATTACGGTGCACTTTGCTCTACAGTTAAGCTCACTGAACAGAAATGTAGTTCTACAGGCCTAAGTAAATGAGATGCTAGGCATGTGATTTGAGTTTCTGCTAAAACAAAACACCTGTGGGGCGGGGAGTGATTCAGATGGGAACCACAGTATGGGAGGCGAACGGATGCAATCCTGACCTGAATCTCCACCGTGCAACTGATAAATTGACCCAGCGGTGGGGGGGGGGAAAACCTCGGCAGCACATCCCGCTGAATGGAATAGGGTGGGAATTAATTCCAGCTGGAATGTGCGCAGGGCAATGGGAGCTCCTGCAAGCTGAACAAATGGTTCCGGGGCTGCACTGACGAGACACAGAACCAGCAGCAGTCGCTCCCAGGCAGACTTTCTCCCGCCCTCCACGTGCCCCCTCGCTCTCCCTTCCCTCTCCTCCTGCGTTGCCACGTTCCAATCGATGCGTTCCCAAGCACGGTCCCCGCCGCCGACGCAACGGGCGCGCGCGCGCGCGCGAGAACGTCGGGGAGGCGTTCCCCGCGGCCCGTACCTGCCAATCACGTTCGAGCGGCTCCTCCCCCTCCCCCTCGCGATTTGCTAGGAGCAGCTGCCAGTCGGGCAATAGGGGCTCCCGCCCAAGGGTCAGCTCGGCGTGCGGAGCGAAGAGAGGAGCCGCGGGCGTCCGCCTAGCCCCGCCCCCCGTCGCGAACGAGCTTCCTCCCCCCCCCCGTCGCGCGCTCCCGCCTCTCTCACTCTCCTCGGCGGCGTTACCTGACAGGAGGCGACATGGCCCCGCGCAAGAGCCCCAAGAGCGGCAGCCCCGGCCCCGGAGCCAGGAGAGGTCAGTAGCGGCCGCCCAGATGGGCCTGTTATGGAGGGCGCGCGGGCGAAGAGGTGCCCGTCCCGCCTTCCTGGGTCTCCGTTCCCGGCGGTCCTCCGGAGGCGGCGTTGGCGGGCGGGGAGGGTGGGGGTGGGAGCGGGGCCTCTCCTCTCCTGTCAGCGCCGCGCTTTTCGAAACTGGCGCCCTGAAGTCCTCTTGCAGCCGCCTCGCTGCCGGTCCCGAGGCGGCCCCTCAGGAATGCCTGCCCTGGTTTCTGAGGAGGAGGCGGCTCCCTCCCGTTGGGGAAGGGAATCAGGGGCCTGGACGGTGCTGCTGGGACCAGGGGCGGCGAGGGGAATAAAATGGAGCCCGGGATTTCCTCAGGCGGTCCTCCTTCTGAATACAGTGGTACCTCGGGTTACATTCGCCTCAGGTTACAGACTCCGCTAACCCAGAAATAGTACCTCGGGTTGAGAACTTTGCTTCAGGATGAGAACAGAAATCGTGCAGCAACGACGCAGCAGCAGTGGGAGGCCCCATTAGCTAAAGTGGTGCTTCAGGTTAAGAACGGACCTCTGGAACGAATTAAGTACTTAACCCGAGGTACCACTGTACCAGTCGCTGGCAAAACCGCGGGAGGCGAGAGGGCTCTTGTGTCCGCGAGAGCAAGAGGCGGGACTCAGTGGGCCGTCGGTCCCGATCCAGCCCCGGGCTCTCCTTGCGCTGCTCGGCTGCAGGTTGTGAAAGCGCTCTCGAAATCCCTTCGCTTCTGAGCTCCTCCTTGAGCACACAGACTCCGAGACAAGGAGGCGAGGAGCCTGGCTTCGTTTATTTCCTCTTCCACTTGTGTACACAGGTCACACCTCTCAGCTGGGTAGATCCGATTTAAAGAGGCTGCCATCCTGCGCACACCTTCGGAGCTGGTGGTCTTTCTTGCTCTTTTGAAAATGTGTGGTTTTTGAAGGCATGGGAATATAGAATTGTAGAGTTGGAAGGAACCCCCGAGGATTAACCCCCCTTGCAAGGCAGGCATATGCAACTGTCCCATATGGGGATTGAACCTGCAACCTTGGCATTATCAGCACCAAGTTCTAACCAACTAAGTGATCCAGGCCAACTCTTGTGGAAGACAGTGGGCCTCAATTCCATATAGAGAGACATAGGATTGTGTTGCAGGGTTGCAAACCAATGTATTCTGGAGTGAAATGTCATGGCATTCAATGAGGCTTGCTTCTGAGTAAACATGCACCAATTCTTGATGATAAACACTTGGGGCTGAAATAGCTACTTCATGCACAAACTGGCACAGATCAAGGGTTGACTGACTAGGTTGATGTGCAGGCCCCTGTGAAATATCCCTAACTCTGAATTCTTTCTATCCCTTTCCTTTTCCCACCCCAGCTTTTTGTTGTTCAATTGCCATTGCTTTCTGTAATGCCAGAATTTTGTTCCATTCACAGCCCATTTGGGGACCATCTTCAGGACACATGAGGAGAGGCTAGCTAATGTGGCCTTTTCTTGGGGGATTATCATCCTGCAAGGGTATCTGCATTGTCCATAAAGTGCAAGTTACTGTGTGTAAGCAGAATAAAATTCTGTTCCATTCTGTATTGAAACACTGCAAAGTATTTCATACAGTTATTTTGAGTGTCTTTCTTTACACAGAAAGATGGCTATCAGGTGCTTCTGATGATTGCTGCCTTGCTGTACGATGGTTTTGTGCTCTATCGTACACTAACTATAGTCCACTGGGGGAAGATCTTGGAAGAATCTATTTCAAAGTGGTATGGTGGCACACCTTTCTCTTGAAGTGGATGTTGTCAACCTTGTTGTTAACTGGTGGCATTGCATAAACCCACAATAAAGCAAAACTATTGTATCAGAATGGAATCCTTAAGATATTTATCTGGAAGTCCCATTGATTTTAGTTAGACTTACATGCAAATAAAAGTGCTGGTTTTATACAAAGTGCTGAGGCACTTTTCTAGCACAGTTATCTTTGGGAATCTGTAGTGGATAATCTGATTGTTGGTCAGAGTTTTTTTGTTTGTTCAACACCTCTGTTCTGCTGGACACTAAACTGAATTACACAGATGAATTTTGCTGTGATTTGTCCAAAACTCTGTGTAATTCAGTTTAGTACAGCTTTGTGAGGCTGCAATGGTGGGAAACATAGATTTTTCTACATCATTAAATTAGCTGGCTAAGTGCATTTTCTAGGACTTGACACATGGCAGCCTAACCCACAATCTATCTCGTTAAATCACCATTGTAGTTTGTTGCCTGTAATCTGGCATCAAGTTTCATGTGTGAGTATAAAATGCTTTCTCTTGATTGTGTGGCAAGACTTGTATCCCTTGCCAGTAAGGTATTTTCACTCCTTCTGTTTGGTTACTCCCTCATCTCTTCCAAAGTGTTTACGTGTCAACTGCCCATTAAAAAAGGGTGAGGTATGACCAGATGGTTTACATTTGCTGCTTGTATTTAAATCAATCTCCCCTCCTTTTCCTTCTCTACTGGCATTTTTAGGGACAGAGAAAGGTCTTAACTTGCAGAAGAACACATGCATAAGTGAATGGAAAACTTCATATAATAAAACCTAGTTAGTGATAAGAGGTCAGATGAATGTGTGGCTGGTGTTGGTATGAATGTCTTTAGGGTTTATTTTTATTTTTTTGCCAAGCTTAAAATACCCTGCTTTTTAAATGTTCCAAGTAGAAAATATCAGTTCTCAAAATATTACTTTCTTCCAACTAAATATACTCTAGATTGGTATACAGATTTTGTGAAAATTAGGATATATTTTTTTTACTTAGCTAGTAAAGTGGAGTGTTAGCTGGCAGGTTTTTCTTTTCTTTCATTTTCATTGATTTCATTTCATTTTCTCAACATGGAAAGTGTGCTTTCCTCCACAGATTTTTGTTAAGTAGCTCAGAATTCATAAGGTTATTATCTCTTTCCTTCTGTGACAAGGGAGAATATCCTTACCTAAAGCCCAACCCTAAATGTGTTCCTTCAGAAGCAGGTCCTAAAGGGTTCAGTGGCACTTACTTCCCTGCAAGTAAGTGTAGTTAGAATGGTGGCTACCTCATATGCATGTTTCAGAGTTGGTTCTGTTTAGATCAGGCTTCCTCAACCTCGGCTCTCCAGATGTTTTGGCCTACAACTCCCATGATCCTTAGCTAGCAGGACCAGTGGTCAGGGATGATGGGAATTGTAGTCTCAAAACATCTGGAGGGCCGAGGTTGAAGAAGCCTGCTTTAGATCAATTGTACATATATTTACTTAGAAATAAATCCAGCCTGTAGCATTAATGTATAGTTAGCCTAACATGGCCAAGATTTGGTGGCATTCAGGGCATTCAGGCATATTTCACCCATCCATCCTATACCTGCCTTCCTCAGTTTTCCCACATTGATGATACCTTTGTGTGCCTGTATGTGCTGGTAACAAGCTATATTGAAGATTTTAGAATATAATTGAGTAAACTGCTTTATGTCATATTATCATTCTGTTATATAGACACACACACACACACACACACACACTCTGTTCACAGTCTCTGTGAGCTTACAGGTCTAACTGAAAAACGGCCATGGCTTCCACAAAGATAAGTCCTGTCCCACTAACTTTTTAGTGTTTTTTTGAGTATGTCAACAAGTCAACATGAATAAGGATGACTAAGTAGACATTGGGTTTTATTCAGTGTTAGTCCTACTCAGAGTAAACCATATCCAGAGTAGACCCATTGAAGTGTATGATAAAGGAAACTTCAATATGTTAATTTTAATGAGTCCTCTGAGTAGAACTTAGATACAATCTGTATTTAGAGTTTCAAACACCTAGGTATCCTGAGTAAGTTTAGCAGTCATGGGATAAGAGGACAGGTCTTTATGCACAGAGTAGGGATAAATTGACAGTTTGTACAATGGAGGGACATAAGAAGCAGAAATGTCTGCACTTCTTAATTCTTTGTGCTTTCCATTCGCCTCTACTCTCTCTGGTCTCCACACCCACCCACCACTTAACTCCTTGCAAGGCTTCTCCTCATCCGGTCCCACCATGTAGTTAGCTAGTAAAGTATATCAAGTTTCTCTGCAATATAATGTGGCATTCTCACAGTTTACTTTGTTAAAGCAAGACTAAGACCAACATTCATTAAATATAATGGTGGCATACAGCTTTATTGTGCTCAGTTTTGCCTTTACCTTTAGAACAAACATGCTATGCAAGGAGGAAGGGCCACTTGGAGTTTAGACAAAACATTGTATCTTTTCTTGGCAATTCCTTACACCCCTTCTGAAACAATGTACACTTTGATATTTCTCTGATTTTTCACTTCTGAAGAAATACTATATAGAATATACATTATTATTATTTATTATTTCTGAACAATGAAGTATATCTCACGCTAATGGTTTATTGGATTCTTCATTATAGGCCATTTGTGCAATGTTTTCCTTGCACCAAGGTGATTGTTCCCTGATGAACATCATATACTGGTAAAGTGTGACGATTGCTGTGACTGATAACACTGTTTATTTTGTAACCACACTCATGGATTGATTTGCTGCATGAGAAGTTTTTGTTTGTGTGCTTTAAAATGCTGTGAAATGAGAGATCTAGGGCTGGGAAATCATTCAAATTCATAAATGCTACCCCCAGAGGCTCTAGCCCTGAAAAAGATTCAAATTTCTAATCACCAACACATTTTTTTCAAACAACTTTAGGCACATGATGATTGCTTTATCTGATTTTCCAGCCCTGGAGAAAAGAAAAGCATTTTATAATTCTTTTTAAACCTATGTTGAAGTAGTTGTATTAGTTTTCCTGGAAATATTACTTGCAGTGTTAAATATTTGTTAAATTGTTAAATGCTTGCATTTGAAAGAAAACTACTAATGAGTGGTGTGGTTTGTGGGAATGAACAATGAAATATCAACAGATAGAATTCTACTTTTAACTTTTTTTGAAAGATTTATACTCTGCCTTTTCAATCAAATGAATTTTTCAAAGGCACT